ATAACTCAGGACATGGCTATCAAACATCAAAAACATCTGCCAGACTATCCCACCTCCTTTATATGGATGATCTGAAGCTGTATGGAAAAACATCATCTGAAATAGAATCGCTGCTCAACACTGTCCGTATATATAGCCAAGATATTGTAATGGAGTTTGGCTTGGACAAATGTGCCACACTTACTATCAAACAAGGAAAATAGTGAAAACTGAAGGAATCAAGATGCCCCACGAAAATAACATTAAGAGTCTGGATGAGGAAGATTACTACAAATACTTGGGTATCCTTCAAGCTGACAACATCAAGCACACTGAAGTCAAGAAAAAGATTAGAGGTGAATACATCAAGAGAGTGAAGAAGATCTTAAAGTCCAAACTCAATGGAGGAAATACCATAAAGGCAATCAACACCTGGGCAATCCCAGTCATTAGGTACACAGCTGGAATAGTGGACTGGACTCAAGCAGAACTAAAAGCAATGGATAGGCAGACCAGAAAAATAATGACAATGAATCATGCCCTTCATCCACGCAGTGACATTGATAGACTTTATCTACCAAGGCAAATAGGTGGGCGTGGAATGCTACAAGTACATCAGATGGTTGAAGAAGAAAAAATGGCTTTGGAAGAATATCTGAAGAACAATGATGAAGATGCACTGAAATTAGTATATCAGGAAGGCTTACTGACTACTGGAGAGACCAAACTGGCCTACAAGAAAGACCAAATGAAGAACAGAATAGAGGCATGGGAAGACAAAGCACTACATGGCCAATACATGAAAAAAATAGCTGGGAAAGCAGATAATAATAAAACCTGGCAATGGCTAAGAGCAGGAAAATTGAAGAAAGAGACCGAGGGACTAATTCTGGCTGCACAAGACCAAGCCTTAAGGACAAATGCATACAAAGTCAAAATTGAGAAGACAGCAACAGACAGTAAGTGCCGCCTATGCAAAGAAGCTGAAGAAACAGTGGACCACTTGGTAAGCTGTTGCAAGAAGATTGCACAGACTGACTACAAGCAGCGGCATGACAAAGTAGCAACAATGGTGCATTGGAAGATCTGCAAAAAATATCATTTGCCTGTAAGCAAAAACTGGTGGGATCATAAAATAGAGAAAGTCATAGAAAATGATAAAATTAAACTGCTCTGGGACTTCAGAATTCAAACAGACAAGCACCTGCAACATAACACCCCAGACTTAACAATTGTCGATAAGAAAGACAAAAAAGTCTGGATAGTGGACGTGGCAGTGCCTGGAGATAGCAGAATAGAAGAGAAAGAACTGGAGAAGATAACAAAATACAAAGACCTACAAATAGAAATAGAAAGACTGTGGCAAAAGCAAGCAAGGGTAGTACCAATAGTCATAGGCTCCTTGGGCGCAATCCCAAAACAACTGGAGCACCACTTGAACACCATTGGCATTGACAAATTTGCTATTAGTCAATTGCAAAAGGCGGCCTTATTAGGAACTGCTTCCATCCTGCGACGATACCTGTAATACCATCAAACATCCACATCTGCCTATCCCAGGTCCTGGGTAAGGACTCGATAGGTAGACAAAATACCAAATCCAGTCTGAACATCTGGCTGACTGTGCGATGATTGAGAATAATAATAAATGCTTTTACACCCAGGAAAATCATACCAATTCATGTGAGATTCTCATTATAAAAACACACGGTAGTGATTTTTATAAGAAAATAATAGGGTCAGCCTAGCTCAGGGGTAGGCAACCCAAAACACTCAAAGAGCCACTTGGACCCGTTTCCCACCAAAAACAAAACACCGGGAGCCGCAAAACCCTTTTGATATCTAAAATGAAGATAACACTGCATATATCCTTTTTTACCTTTATTATAGGTGTGTGTGTGTGTGTATATACACACACACACACACACACACACACACACTCATTAAAAATAAAAGTAAAAATATGACTCTTGGGAACATCCATACTATTAAAACAATGATCACCAAGAGAATGCTTTAAGAGAATAAAATTACATACACACAAAGGTAAAAAAAGGATATATGCAGTGTTATCTTCATTTTAGATGTCAAAAGGGTCTCTCTCTCTCTGTCTCTCTCCCTCTCTATCTGCCCTTGGTCTGCCACTCCTCTTCCCCCACTCTCTTTCTTTCTCTCTCTCTTTCCCCTCCCTCTCTCTCTCCCCCTCCCCTCTCTCTTTCTCTCTCTCTCTTTCTCCCCCCCTCCTATCTGCTGCTCACCTGGCAAGCTTCAAGCTGTTGTCCAACAAGCTCAGGGGTAAGCAACCTCGTCTCTTTTATGACTCATGGACTTCAACTCCCAGAATTCCTGAGTCAGCCTAGCTGGGCTAGCTAGCTCTCTCCTGCCCTTCCTGCTTCCTGCTTCCTGCAGAGACACAGCAAAGGGAGGAGCTCCGCCCAGTAAGCTTTTCAGCTCCTCGAAGAACACTGTGAGTGCACTCTGTTTTACACACACACACACACAAAAACACAAACACACAGAGACAGAGAGAGAGAGAGAGAGAAGCAGGAAAGTGTAATTGCCTGTCTCTGTCTCTCTCTGCAAAGGCAGAGGAAGCTGGGAGCCACAGGGGAAGGCTCAAAGAGCCACATGCGGCTCTGGAGCCGCAGGTTGCCGACCTGTGGCCTAGCTCCTCAACAACCACCATGCTCATAATCAGATTCCCGTCTATCCCTTGCATCCTTTTAGAAAAATGTGTACATTTCTCACTGCCTAATTTCCTTTGGGTCCAGGCTATATAAATTAAATCTGGAGCCTACAGCTATTTTAAGAAATAAATCCATTATTAATTATTAGAAATTAATCTAACATTTGAATCTGTTTAACCCTACAATCTAGGAGGAAATGGAAACATAGAAAATGTAGCATAAATATCAGATTTGTTTTAAAAAAAACACCATTACAGCATGGGTACTAAAACAATGGGACCATATCAAAATAATACAAGAGGCTTCTTAAGATGGTTTCTATATCTGCCTACATTTTAACACTTCCATTCATTAGCTGATCTCTCACCTTCTGTATCAATTGGATGTGATGGTTTCTCCTGTAAAATCACAATTGCCTTCAGCCTAAAATGTAAACTATAATAGAACCCAGTAGACCACTACAAAGATATATGCAGACATATAGAAAAGAGAATTAGAAAATGCCTGATCCTTTCTTAATCTAGCACAGCCCTAGGGAAACAATGTTATATGCTGACATATTCCATATGTGTTATGTTGCTCTTTAGACCTACAATTCAACATAAAATAGCAGAAAATCAGCCATATTTCATGCAGAAATGATGCCTATGATACCAAATTCCATTTTCAAAGGAAAAATGGATTTCATTATGATGTTGCCTCTTTGTTTTTGTTTTTTTTTTTTCATCAAGAAGGAAATGCAAAATTATGATGAGCAGGTATGTTTTTCATACTGCAGTTTTATTTTCTATATTTTTCCAACATATTGCAAATTTAAACAATCTTTTATCCCGTCAAACTCTTTTAAAATTAAAAATCACAGACCCAGTGGAGATCCAAAAAGAACATATTTTAATTCAACAAGAGGCTTCAATCCATCCTCATAATCAACTAAGTAGAATAAGGTCTAGGGCTGGGGTGTCAAACTGCCGGCCCGCAGGCCAGTTGCATCATGTGGAGGCCGTGCCCACCCCAGCTCCGTCAATGTGAAAACAGTCACACCCATAGTCTAGACACACCCGTGGTCTAGGGCAGACCTTTTAGGCACCAAGGACCAGTTCCGTGGAGAAAGGTTTTTCCACAGACCAGAGAGTACGTGGTTTTGTGTGCTGTTTGCATCCCACAGATGGGGCTTTGCTTCTTTGTGTGGACCGGTTGCTGGCATGTCACAGCCCGGTGCTGATCCATGGAACAGGGGTTGGGGACTCCTGATCTAGGATGTTGGGAGCAGTTCCTGGGTTTTGTTATTGGCACATTGCAAGTTAATCAGAATTATACTAGTATGGCAAACCAAGGCACAGATTATATTGTATGGAGCCTGAGTACATGCTTGTGCAAATCAGCATTATGTAATTTTGTATACGTTAGACATATCTCAGTAGAATCTGGTTCTGTGTTTCTAATGTAATGTTATTTTAATCACTAAATTTATTTAATTTGTTTATCAATTCATTTTTCTTAAATATTTACACCTACTTATTATCCTATAGATCTCAGGATTTGCTTTAATCCATAAATCACACAGGATAAAAATAAATGATCGTTTAAAAGATTAAAATAGCAATAGCATAATACAATAATAGACAATTTTAGAAGGACCAATGGCCAGACTATTCTGAAATATTTCCATGGTGCTAAAAACTAAGCAAATTTAATATCACTTCTTCCTTCCATCAGCAACACAAGTGGTTTGCCCATGACAATGAAATAAATGACTCTGCCCATTCTCTTCCTTCTGCCAATAGCACTATCTAGGCCAGGGGTGTCCAACCTTGGCAACTTTAAAACTTGTGGACTGGCTGGCTGGGAAATTCTGGGAGTTGAAGTCCACTGGTCTTAAAGTTGCTAAAGTTGGACATCTCCAATCTAGGCCCACATGTGTCACGTCAATGATAAAATGAGGCAGCATCTTGGTAATCATGGAGGCTGGAAAGTCCTAAACCTAGCATCGAAAAGGGTCTCATATGTACATTAAATTTTCCAAAAACACCATTCTGGAATTTTCTATTTCTGAGACCACTTCAGCTAGCCTGACTACAGAGAACAGCATTAAATATAAAGGTTGCTATACCATCAACATATTTTTCCTGTCTCTTGGGCCTAATACCAGGTATGCATCTATGTGTAAAAGTATTTTCATAGCACCGGCAGATTCTATTCAATGGATGTCATTGATCAAAATGTTCCCACAGAGGATCCAAACTATTTTTGAGTTTTGTGCAGTTTGTGTGCATGTAAACAGCATAATAATTCCAAAAAGATTCTTGTGAAATGTGACACATACATATAACTTACCATCTGCCATCTCTGCACAGAGCTGCAAACCTAAATTATTCTGTGGGTCAATCACCCAGTGGTTACTGGTGACAGTGATATCAAACACAAGCCAGCCAATATCAGGAGCTTGAGCTCGTTTTGTATCTAATAGGAACAGGTCCGCATCCCTAGTATAGAAACAATGAGTAAATAAAAATGCATCATAATTATGTCATTGCGATTAACTTTGCCAGTAAAACATTGATTCTGGCTGTGGCACAGCAAGGTAGACAATCTACATGCACATAACTTCATATGTTGGAAATGAAAGGCAGTGATCCATAAGCTAATTAAATTCTAGCGCTTCAAATTAATTTCTCCAAAATAATTTTTTGTTGGCATTAATAATCCCAGACATTTATAATTTTTATTTTTTTTTATTTCTATAGGTTTGATATACTATGTGATTTCACCTCCCACAGTTCAATTCTATGAACATGTAAGTGTTGCAGATGTAACAGAAATTCCAATTGTTGCATGCAAAATATAGATTAGGCTTTAGAATAGACTGATAGTATTTTGAAGTATTTTTTCACAATTTGTGCCTGGGGAGCGAAAGCCATATATTACTTTGATTTTCTGAAGAATTCCATGAAAACCAGACCAAAAATCCATCCATTCTAAATATTTTAAAAGGAAAAATATTTTGAAACTTGTTTCGGTGGCTTGAATATTTTAGATACGTAATTCACAGATCTTTCTGGAAAGCAAGTCCAAGATTATGACTTTACCCACTTCTTCCTAATGGAATATTTGCATTAAAAATTACTCATGTTGAGGACCATGCATGTAGTAAATCTCATCTTAAAGTTCATTCATGGCTTCATATCCCAACTCAAACACAAGAGTCCTATATACTGCGGACAGATTAAGAAAGTAAATGTAGCTCTTGGTTCTCTAAAAATAAATACAGCTGAGCCATATAGTATACCCCTTGTTGCAGCTAAATTAAACTTGGCTTGCTTTATTCATGGTTCAGGGCAGCAAGTATTTCTCAAAACTAGTCCTGTAAATTGTGCATGCAATGCTTGCATTTGCTCATCTATAATGATTAACTTAACTAATCGTTTACATGATGAAATTGGAAAATTGGATACCTGTGAATTTTCCTTCTGGCAACCTCCCTGGACAGCAGGACAAGAGATGAGTTGTTCAACCTTCCAACCACTAGGAGAAAAAGACTCCAGGGAGAGGCTGAAAACAGACATGCCGGTATTAGGAACCACCGCTCTGTTCTCCATCCAAACCAATATCCTATTTTCTTTTTCCAGACTTGTGGGGTTGGGTGGATAGAGTGACCAAGATAGTTTGCAGATGATAGAGGCTTTGATCAGGGCTGACCTGAATTTACACACTATGTAGATGTTTAGAAGAATAAATGTTCCATGTCCATTGGATCATTCCCCTACGGAGGAGGTAAGCTGAATCACGTGCTCTCTTCTACAATACTGTCTTTAACAGCACTCCCTATTTGAGCAGCTGTCCAGACTAAACTTTGTAAAGATAAAGAGCTCTGCTAAGGAAGAACTGAGCAGGGGCTGAAGTTACACATTAGCTATGAACCGCTGAAAGGACAGGTCCACAAAAGGGAACCTCAGCACAATCTCCCTCAATAAGTAGATCTTGGAATCTATCAGATCCAGGCTGCGGCGTTCGATCTTCTATATCCTTTCCTGTCATCTAATGTCCAGAGATTTGTACCCTAGCTCTAGTACAGTTAGTCCTCAACTTACAACCACTTGTTTAATGACCATTCAAAGTTATAACAGCACTGGAAAAAAGTGATTTATGACCAGTTTTCACACTTATGGCCATTGCAGCATCCCCAACAGTCACATGATCCAACTTTGCATGCTTGGCAACCAGTATGTATTTACGACGGCTGTGGTCTTCTGGCATCCTTGGGACTGTCATTTGCAACTTTCTTAGGGAGCTTCTGACAAGCAAAGACAATGGGGGAAGCAGATTAGCTTAACGGCTACATGATTTACTTAATAACTTCAGTGATTCGCTTAACAACCATGGCAAAAAAATGTAGAATAGGGCATTTACTCACTTAACAACTGTCTTGCTTAGGAATGGAAGTGTTGGGCTCAATTGTGGTTGTAAGTAGAAGACTACCTGTAAGGCAGGGGTAGTCAACCTTGGCTCTTTTATGACTTGTGGACTTCAATTCCCAGAATTCCTGAGCCAGTTGGCTCAGGAATTCTGGGAATTGAAGTCCACAGGTCATAAAAGAGCCAAGGTTGACTACCCCTGCTGTAAGGTCATCTGTGGATCTGATTGTAGCAATGATGCTTGTAAGGGGAACTTAACAGCTTTCCTGTGGGTGGTGTTTACTATCCGTTTACTATTTTTCAAACAATTTTACCCTACAGATTTAGATATTTCTGTGAGAGACAGGGGGCAAGAGAGAAGCACCCTGAGCATAAGAATGAAATTCCAAGCTTCCTAATGAAAAAACAAAACATGCAGAAAATCTCTGAATTGGAGAAAACCCAACAAAGCACCTGAGGTGGGGAAAAGGAACATCTCACTAGCAGCTACCTGGAATGAGCAAAAAGCAAAGATAGGATATCAACATGATTGAGAGGGGGAAAATAATTAAAGATGAGTAATAGTTGAGAGTCAGATCCATGAAAGGTCAGAATATAAAGTGATGTAACAACCCACAAACCACACTAAAAACTCTAAATGATCCTTCAAATTCTAAGTAGAGCATCTATATCTATAGTAGATCTACTCTGGCAACCATAAAAAGTATTTTGCGGCTTTGTTGATAGGAAGTGCTTAGCCAGGACAAGCCCTTTAAATAGCTACTGTGGTTATTATCTATTCTAGTTGTAAGTAAATAAAATGCCTACAAGTTGCTGCACTAAATTCTATCCCATTCAGAAGCCATTTTTTTCCTTGAAAAATGAGCATCTTTATGATCTGATATTCTCTGCCACCATTTAATTTCAGCCTTTTTTTTCTTGCTCTTCCATATAAAGGGGAAAAGCTCTCATCCAACAAGGACTAGATATGGTAGGACTAGATATAAAACAAATAAAAGTACTTGCATATGTAAAGAGGGGATTCCTAACACAATAGAATAGAATAGAATAGAATAGAATAGAATAGAATAGAATAGAATAGAATAGAATCTGGAAGGGACCTTGGAGGTCTTCTAGTCCAGCCCCCCACTCAAACAGGGGAACCTATACTATCTCAGACAAGTGACTGTCCAGTCTCTTCTTAAAAACCTCCAGTGATGGACCGATTTCTGAAGGCAAGCTGCTCCACTGGTTAATTGTCCTCACAATTAGGAACTTTCTCCTTAATTCCAGGTTGCTTCTCTCTTTGATCAGTTTCCAACCATTGTTTCTTGTCCTGCCCTCTGGTGCTTTGGAGAATAATTTGACCCACTCTTCTTTGTGGCAGCCTCTCAAATACTGGAATGGGCAAAGGCTATATTCAATTCATAAAAAAACAACACCAATAGCTAAATGAATAGGATGGACTTCTTTCTACTTCAGAGATCTTAAAGGAAAATTCACAGGTAAAACCATTTTCATTCATCTTAAGGCATCTTTGATATTCAAGGTAAATATTTTTATGGCATGGACTCTTGGTGGAGAGTCAGAGCTGTGAGTTTCAGACTGAAACAATGTTCATACTGAAGATGGTCAACATCCATTAGAGATAGAATGGCCATTCTTATCTATATAAGCCTGAGTGCTAAATCAGTGTTCTCTTTCTATACTTCATTTTATTTCTTTCTGCTCTTAACTGTTCTTTTTTTTTCTACCTAGGTGGTTGAAGAATCAACATCATCAGCTGTTTGAAAACACCTATATACCATTGCTTCCATGCACCTTCTCTAAAAATCTTCATCTGTTGCCTCCCAGACATTACATTCTGCAGTGTAAAAATTTTTCATTTTTCCTAACAGAAATATATCAAGAGGAGCATGCACAAAATCCAATATACTAAATTAAAAGATGAAGGATGCAATAATGGAAGACAAAACACAGTTTCCAGGCAAAGGAATACCACCCCAAAAAAATTATCCAAGGAATATAGTAGCATGTGTTTTATCTCTTTAATTATTTTTCTAGACAGAGTTCATAGGGGATGGGCAGTGAGATCTGCAAAAGGATTGTATCCTTTTAAATTATAATACAAATATTTTGTGGTTTCAGAATTTCAGAAGCATGCTTCTCTCTATAATACTTCCATTCCATTCTCATGCTTCCATTTCATTCATATGATAAGCAAATGCTGAGTATCTTTTGGTCAGAGTGCACGGTTTGGGCTAACATCGACACCTGACATCCTTGTACAAGGACCAGACTCTGAGTGCCTGGGAAATTCTCTCAATCAAGGCCCAACTTGGGGGACTTTTTTCTACTTTCTGTCCACCCATTTTGGGTAGTTGTCCTCCAAGGGTTACAAAGAGCACAGCAGTAACATGGCAACACCAAAGTCAGTGCAACGAAATGTGTAAACTTTGCAGAGGCTTAATGCATGTATGTTCTTTTACTTAAAAAGATACAATGTCACCAAATCATAGCACTTAAAATCCAAACAAAATCAAAAATTTACCTTTGCTACTATAATCTGCAAGAATACCAGCAACAGCTGTGTAAAACAACTCAGCTAGCTACCCTGAGTTATTTATTGAACAGTCAGCTCAAGCAAAACATTTCAAACCACCTTCAACTGTTTTTTTTTTAAACTTCCAAGCCACTTTTGTTGGATGGTTTGATTCCTTAACAGAAAGAAAACAATCCCTTGTTCCTAAATTGGAAGAATTAATTTGGAATACAACTGGAAGAAAAATTGACCTGTTCGGATATTCCTTGATGATCTGATAAATGCTAATCTTAATTGTTTCATTCTCAAATCGACTGTAACTCCGATCCTTGTAAATCCGAAATTCTGCTGCTGTCACGGCTTCTCCATGAGGGATCTGAGTCAAATCAAATCGAAATTCTTTGTAGTGCCGTCGTTGGTGAGAAAAATCCTTGTCTCTTTCCACTATGAAAATGAAATGAAATGAAAAGGTTAACAATCCACACGCCATGTTAATGCAGCACTCATTACAGGTTTTAATTTAAACTCTGGGAGACATTCAACAAGCTAGAAGTCACAAGGTCAAAGGGGATAGAGCCTGCAACAACTCAGAAAGGAAATCATTCTGCAAAAAGAACAAAAAATAGACTATATATTTAAAAGTAATAAAGCTGTGGGCAAAAAAAGAATCTCCACATGTTAGAAAAGAATTGGTTGGTTCATCTTTCTATATGAGCAGGAATTACTAGCAGATGATCTTGGCATGGATGCTTGGACAGCCTTTGAGGAAACGAAGCTGGCCAGGCCTTGGCTGAAGTCATAATATATTACATGGATACTTGTTCCATTCTCATGCGGTGGTATTCATATTCCCAGCTACACTTGCTCTGCAAATGAAACCATATTGTAAACCTTGTTTGCATAGCTACTTCTATCTACAGCAGGATGCTCATTAGACGAAAATATTAGTCACGAACTCTCTGAATTGTTTTGAAGAAGTAATTCTTGCTGCATCTGTTGTTCATCATAATGGCAGGACTGGTGACTCATTTACAGGAGGAGTGGTTAACTTGAGGTCCCCAAACCATCTGGGGCCTCTAAGCCTCTTTTCTGTCGCTCCCACTGCTGACCACTGACCACAATTGCTGGAAATTGGAAGCTTGGTTTCCGATCATTGTGAAGTGCAAAATACATAAAAATAGTCATTTATACCCCCCAAAAGAGGCTTAATATCATTTAAAAAAAAACATTCCACCCACTCTGCTCTGAATCCTGGCTCTACCCATTGTCTCGTCAAGAATTAAATCCTTGTTGCTAACACCCTGGGTATTAATGGATCTGGGATTGTGAATGCAACGCCTAATTAATCCATACACATAACACTTCACAAATGTCACTGCTTCCTATTAAGAGAGATACAAGGTCTTGGTGCAGCTTACTTAAATCTCTACATCTCCTGCAGAAGCTGGAAAGTAAACCAAGCACTTTTAGGTGGTGGAGGTTACTGTAAACTGAGAGAGAACAAAGCACGCATGTTTACAGCTTCAAACCAATGAAATGATGGTATATTTTCACGAAATACTTGGATTATCTGACAAGCAGAGGTCAGAGGTTCCAAGAGTTTTGTCTTGAAATTACTAAGTGCTCTTCAGCTGGCTGATAATTGAAAGCAGAGGCTAGAAATATCAAAGGAGGTAGGTGATAGATAAGTCAGAGATAAATGGAAAGACTCTAGTTCTTATACCCTCAAAGGGCAGAGGCTCCAGGGTTTCTCTGTTGTGTTACTGGGAACAACAGACTGAGGCATCAGTCATGGTACCTATTCCTATCTTTATCTTCTATCATTATCCAAGACCGGCTCTTCCCTGATCTCTTGCTTCTTCAGGCATCCTCCAAGGGTGCAGAAGAAAACCTGAACTTCCATAGAGGGTTAGTTAGAAAAAGGAATTCATCAGAATGAAAAAGTGGTATGCTTATTTCATTCAGTATGGATAGTTCCAAAAAGTATGAGCTCTGAATATTATCTGTAATGCTACAATAACCTGCAAACTAATAAAGGCACTAGAGCCCACCAGACTGAATCCCATTTTAAAACGGAATTATTTTCTTATTAATCCTCTGATCCTGAATGCCACGATCTCATTTATACTGATTGCAACTACTTGCAATGCAAATTAGTCACAGCACGTAGAAATTTATTTCCTAACTCTCCCCAAGTCACATGTTTTACATGTTAATTTGAATTACAGTGAATTAACAAGATTATGAGAAAAAAATAAAAACCTGTCTTCATATACCTGCTTTGAATCCAACAATCTCTGAACAGAACATGGATGAGGAAGCAGTGTTTGAATTGTCATGGAGTTTGCTGTTTAATTACATTTTTATGTTCCAAGTAAACACCTTGAATTATTTAGAAAAAAAATAAGGGTGGGATAAAATAATCTAAGAATAAGTGCATGATCCATCAAATGTAAACTCAAAATGCTTTTAAAGCAATCAGGAATTTTGTTAAGTACAATATAAACCAAAGGTCTCCACCTCAAATAGCCGTGAACGATGGTATCAAAGTCTCCAGAGAGAAAATAGAGTAACCCAGAATGCCATCAAATATAAATTTATTTAAAAAAAAAACTATTGCAAAACAATTGCAGGCAACATCCCAACCCCAACCTCAAAGTGGTCCCATACCTCCAGAGAGCTCCACTCATCAAATGTCTTTAATGCTGATAACAATATAACACATCTGCTGTTTCTGTTGGCCAAAACATCTGAGCCATCCTGACACAAGGCAGGCTCAGAGTTATCCTAGCCCCATACATTGAGGTAGCCACTTTTCTTCCAACTACCAAAGTGGGCAGACCACAACACTGGTTCCAGTCACATTGGCACCCTGACACACAGCCACCCTCTGTCCTACTCTGCTTTGGTTCCAACTCATACCTTTCTCCTAGTCCAATGGAGGATCTAATGTGTTGAACTGAGATTGGCAAGCTATCGACCACCCTTCCTCTGTAAGAAGGTGTGTGAAGGTTGCCTACAACACTCTGATCCTTTCTCTCCAAAGCACCACTGCAGGCTTTGGACAATGACTATGAGATTGTGAGTTTAAGGCCTCCGATATAAATTCTTTAAAACTCTTGAGGCTGGCTTGATGTAGCTTTCTTCTTTGGCACAGTTGCAACTATCAAAATCCACATCTGGGTCAACCAGACAAAGTTGTAGTCCTCTATACTCTGGTAGCATGCCAGCAAGTGATTCTTCGCTCCACTACATGCATTCCTAACAATACTGGAAAAATATTCTTCCGGGGAGGGTGGCTGATCATTGACCAAAACTTTTATTATTTGAACAGACAAGTGCCAAACAGGCAGGGCAAGATCATAATTACATTACTGGAGGAACTGAAGCAGAGGTTTTGACCTAATCTGTCTTCTTCTGTTGCTCCCTTGGTGTTTCAATGCTACCTGCAGCTGGACACAACCATTTCAGTGTGTTTACTCACAAAATATCAGCAGGAAATTACACTGCTCATGTCTGGCCGCATGCCACAGTTGTGCAATCTTGGGAGGCTCTAGTGGCTACAGTGATGGAAAAATAAGAAACTGAGTAAACCAAAATGCTTCCTATGTCTCCATCCCTAGTTAAGCTTTTGCTTGGAACACTCTTCAAAATAAACATATATAGAACTCGGCTGAATCAATATTTTAAAATGTTTATTAGTTGGTTGCTAAAATGAAACTAAGAGGGCCTATTAGTAAAATCAACCACCATAAGTTGTTTTACAGTCAAGAAGTTTAAAACCTTCCATAATATTTTTTAATGGATATTAAAAGTTTTACCTGTTTGCTTTCCAAGATTACTGCTGAAAAATGTATTTTTTTACATCCATGCCTTTGAGAAATTGTGCCATTAAAACATATTCATTTTTTACTAGTCAGAATGTATACTTCTCTGAAGAAGTTAAGACAGAGAATAGTTCCTACTGTTTTAAAATACCCCAAGACATGGTAGATAAATAGCTGCTAAACAAAATGACCCTTTGAACTCCCAGTTCATGTAACTTCATTGTATACTTGTTCAGCTACTTAAAACCCAATCAACTATGTGTATGCCCTGTGTTTCTTCTCTTAAATAATCCTTGACAGAGACTTATCTACACCCTGAGCATCATGGAGTCCTGTTTTTTTTACAAACTATCTTATTCTTAGTATTTTCTGATAATAGCTTGTGCTGGCGCTGCCTGTATTTTAATTTACTTTTTATTGCATTTTATTTATTTATTAAATTTATATGCCACTCATCTCACTATCAAGCAAGATTTCTTTCTTTCTTTATTCATGCATTCAAAAGAAAAAAAGCCTAAAGATGCTAGACCCCCAACAAAAAAAAATTAGGAAGAAACAAGAGGCTCTCTTGATCATTCTTTCATGAAAATGTGTATGTGTGTGTATAAAATAAGAAAACCATTTCACCCCACAAAGTTACGTAATTCTGACAAACATATTTGTAAACATGTACTATTCATTTTATTTATAATCCTTTATATTTTCCAAATCCCACTAGTGTTGTGGATATCAAAACAAGCGTTAATTTGCAGGAACCTGTTTGTTAACTTTTGAAATAAAGTTTTATTCTTGCTACTAAACTGATCCCTCTTGCATCAAAACATGTCCTGGCAGCATATTTTTTCTGCTTCATGACATGGCCTCCAACTTGTCTCCAGACCATCAGTGATAATCTTCAGCGATCCTTAAGTATACCAATAATAAAGTTGTGTTTTTCTCCAAAAGCCAGCAGCTTCCCAAAGCAACCCCCAAATGTGTAAAATCTGTTAATGCTTTGCCACACATTACACCAGTGGCAAAGTCATGTGACCAGCAGTAGGTAGGATCAGAACTGTGCTTATTGGCCTTTTCAAAATGATGCAGGGAACCAGTGTTTTTGACGAGAGCCAGTTTGGTGCAGTGATGAAGGTACTGGCCTAGAAACCAGGAGACTGTGAGTTCTTAGGCATGAAAGTCAGCTGGGTAACTTTGGGCCAGTCCCTCTTAGTCAGCCCAACCCACCTCACAGGGATGTTTGCTTTGGGGAAAATAATAAGAAGAAGGAGTATTATGTATGTTCACTGCCTTGAATTACTTACAAAATAATAAAGGTAGGATAAAAATCTAATAAACCCTCCAAATCCTGGTTTGTCTCCCCAGTGTCACTCTACTTCTGTGTTCCCACAGCAAGGGTCAAGCAACCTTCTCTAGAGGCCATCCCATCACCGCCACTATTTTTTCTACCTTCTTCATCTCTTAGCTTGCTTTTTTTGCCTCCTGTTGTTGTGAGTGCTCCATCCCTGGAGGTTTTCAAAAACAGACTAGACAGCCATTTGTGCAGAATGGTATAAAGTCTCCTGCCTTGAGCAGGGGATTGGACTAGAAGACCTCTGAGGTCTCTCCCAGCCCTATGAATCT